TACTGAAATTTCATAAAAATTATACATTATAAAACTTTATATTTTTATGGAATTTTTATATCAAATTTTTTATTGGGTGATCAACTTACAAACTAGCTGAAAACCCTTCTTAAGTTATGTCAAACAGCTTGAATTAAGAAAAGCAGAAAGGACCCTTCGAAACTGCGATAAATTCATAATAATAATCGAGTACATGAAGTAAACAAATAGCATATATTCCGAATTTGGATCTATTTGAATCAATAATTTAATATCATTTATTATTTATTAGAAAATAGCTCAACGAGTAAAGGCGGCAAAGTATTTGTTTAAAGAAAATGACTAATAAATTGCGAAATATGAAAGGCGACCTTTACTCTGAATTCTCAGCGATCGCCTATATCATTCACCAGAAATCAGCGAAACAGATGAAGAAAATCGTCAAAGATCTGTTATCACTGTATATGACTATTCTTAGCGATTGGTCAAGGTTTATTATTTTCTTTATCTAATTGTGCATATTTTGAATTTATTTAGTATATTCCACTAATTATTTTCTTCTTTTAGCTGAAAAATTTACTGAGAAAGGTGCTCGATCCTTGTGCTGCTATAACATCATCATCTCAAATTCAACGAAAAAGAAAATACAATGATGATATGCAGTATTATGACCGGCTACATCTCTATAATGCTCCAAAGTGATCATATAAAGGACAACCTAATGCAGTCTATGATACTGAGGTCAAAGCAGGAGTTGCTACTGCAGAAGAATATATAATAGAAACAGAGGAATATACTGAAGTCAAAAAGGTGGTTTTGTCTACTGCTGAAGAAAGTAAAGATGATCCTGTAATGGACAATGGCGAATGATAAATTTTTGGGTGATTTGGGGTAAGAATGGGTCAGTTTTAATAATTATCTTTACGTTTTTTTGGGTAATTTGGGTGATTTGAGTCAATTTTAATATTATCTTTATGTTTTTTTGGGCGATTTGAATGGGAATGAGTCGATTTTTTATTATTATCTTTACGTTTTTTTGGGCAATTTGGGGTGAGAATGGGTCAATTTTAATATTATCTTTACATTTTTTTCGGGTGATTTGGATGGGAACAGATCGATTTTTTATTATTATCTTTATGTTTTTTTTGGGCGATTTGAGGTGGGAATAGATCAATTTTAATATTATCTTTACATTTTTTTCGGGTGATTTGGGTGGGAACAGGTCAATTTTTTATTATTATCTTTACTTTTTTTGGGTAATTTGGGTCGATTTGGATAATTATCTTTATGTTTTTTCAGGCGATTTGAATGTGAAAGAGTCAATTTTTTATTATTATCTTTACGTTTTTTTTCAGGCGATTTGGGTGGAAAAAGGTCAATTTTTTATTATTATCTTTACGTTTTTTTGGGTGATTTGGGTGAAAACGGGTTGATTTTAAAGGTAAAGGGTATGTCGATCATTTTATATATAAATTGTGTGGCAAATTTTATCGATCACATGTTGTTCTGAAAACTCAGTTTACATATCAACTCAATTATTGCGCCAGATGCGCTACATAAAAAACAGGTTTCTAAATAAGTTTACATTTCACCTATTTACACAATGACATAAAATTATGACACGTAATTGGTATAACCTTATTGTTCAAAAGATCCTTCCAACTACAAAAGTTATCAAAGAAAAAATAGAAGTTAGTTCATTATTGACTTTTCTTCCAAATTCGAAGTATTACCCTTCATAAAGAGTTGTCAGAATTTATTATACCAAGGAACTTTTATAATGAACTTGAAAAAACTTTACAAAAAAATATAAATGTTGGTTATATGCATTTGCAAACCAATACTCTTGACGAAAGTTCGTGGGTTCCATTATTGCCAGGTTATGTTATATATACCTCTTTTGGTGGATATTTTTTCAAATTTTCTATTATAAGGGAAGGAGAATGTTTACAGTTTTTTTAGCAAGAGTTTGGTAAAGACTTTACATTCACTAATTGTAACGCTTAAGGTCAAGAAACATTAGGGTTTTATTTAATGATTAAAAATTATAATATAAAAAATATCTCGCTTGCTTCAATCTTAGGATTTAATGAACCTACTATTATAGCAATTTTACAAAACACAGTTCGTAATGTTTTTTCTGATCATTTTCTTCCTTCTGCACCAATTTTAACTTCTCCCATATTGAAAAAGTTGTGAACTTGAACAGGTTTACAAAAAAGATTCAGTTGTTAGTGGAATCAAATTGGAAGAAAATGGAAAATGTCTCTCTCCAAAATCTACACAAGCTCTTATAGTAATGCACGAAGGATATAAATCAACATATTATAACGCCAACCGTAATATCAAACGGTTAAAAACTAAATTAAGCAACTCCAAGATGAAAGTTCCAATTTGAATAATAATATTGATCAAAACGAAAATTTTGAAAGAATAAGAAAGGAAGTAGATAATATCTTGGATGAAAAGAAATTGGGGTCAACAATGTTAATTAGTACCTTTCTTTTATACTTTCGCATTCTTGTAGTTATTGCTATAATACCGATCTTCAGAATAAGTCTTATCATGTATCTTGCATAGGTTTTAATGTTACAATTGACGTGAATTGTCAATTATGTGATACAATGGATTCATATTCTAATCAATCCAAAGGCGTCAATTTTTCACATCTAGTTGCAGCAGTGATTTTGGCGGGTGGTATTAATCATTATGCTATGCAAATTGTATTAGTGGTTATAGGTATTACTACCCAAAGTTGCAAGCGATCATATCATCAATATCAATCTCAAATGTTTTCTGAAATTATATTAAGTGCTAAAGAATCTGCTAGACAAGCGTTTAATGCTGCTATAGCTTATGCTAATACAAAAGAAAAAAAAGTTTTGACTATTGGAATTGACTATTCTTGATCCTACTCCCGTAATGCCAAGCAAGCTAGTGGAGAATTTATTTATTTAGATGATCTTGAAGATAAATGTTTCATAAAATTCAATTAAAAAAAAAATCTTTTTTTTTGCGATAAATTATAATTATTAAGCATAATTTAATTTAGGCTATGGACATAAGCCCGTTATTGCCTTTCATGTCATAGAAAAATCTCGCATTATTACTAAAAAGGAAAAGATGAAAATTCTGATGAAAAAGTTGTAATACAAAAGGGTAATTTTGATGCAAGTTCTCGTCAAATGGAACATGCTATTTTAATTGTACTTTTGAAGCAAATTATTCCAGTATTAGAAACATCAGACCTTTTGCTCAAAGTTTGTATTGACGGAGATCTAGATTCTAATAAAACTTTAGCCAATATTCCTGTTGTATCAGAAATTTACGCAGACCTCAAACATGCAAGCAAAAATATTTGAAAAAATTTATGTATGTATATAGTAATTAATTGTTAATAATAAAGTTTTCTTATTTTTTTTATTTTGGGTTTAATAGTAAAAAAACAGTATGTGCGTTATCATAACTTTGAGCAACATATAATAAGATACTTTAACGGATGTGTATTTACTGCTGGTTTGAAAAAAAAGAATAATGAACCAGATACACCAACGAATGAAGAATTGCGTTATATCCAAGTAGAAGGTTTAATTCAACATTTATTAGATAATCATGATTTTTGTTGGAAAGAAGTTTGTTGGTATAAGGAAAATGAAGAATTACAATTGCAGTCTCCAATGTTACAATCCTTTACAAAAGTAGAAATTGAAGGATTCTGGCAAATGCTTTTGACAATTTTTAAACTTCCTATACAACAAAGTCTTGTTACTCATTATCGAACAGCTTATAATGAAGCATTCAACCAGACAATCTTACGATTTGTTGATAAGCGAATTGATTTTTGGGCTTCTTATCGAGCATAACATGTATTAGCTATTATTGACAATAATGAAAGTCTCAATTACATGATGAAAGTTATACGTAAAGCTGCTCGATCATGTGAATTTAGTTTTTATGATCAACACAATATAAATAAATTTGTTGGGGAACGTTAAAATCAATTAAATTATAATCAAAGTGTTATAGATAAACGTAATCAAGAATACGTTACAAATTATGCTAATGAACGAAAAGAACTGCAAGTATTTGATTTTAGTCAGGTTAGCTAAAATCAAATGTAAGAGTTTAATTTTATCTAATATGTTTTCATATATAGGAATTAATTCTGTACAAATACAAGGCGGAGGAAAGAATATGAGCAAATACATTTTATCCTTCCTTTGCGAAATTAATTATAGATTTTGATGTAATTATCAAGTGTCAGGGTTGCCTTACATTTTGTAAAAAAACTGTGGCTGGCTTATGCTCTTTTTGCTCATTTTATATTCTTATGGGGTGGCAGGAACGTTTATTAAATAAAAATTATACTTATGTTAATAAGAAAAAATGTTTAGATCTGAAAGAAAAGGTAAATTTAGCAGCACAAATAATTTTTGGGTATGATCAATTGCGAGAAGGACAACTTGAAGCTGTAGAGTCATATTTAAGTGGTAAAGATACATTAGTATCATTGAAAACTGAAGGAGAAAAACCGTTTTGTTACGCAATTTGTGCATTGCTTTTCGAAGAAATAACAATAGTTATCAGTCTGTTAAAGGCTTTAATGGAAGATCAAAAGGTATTTTAATTATAACTATTAAAATTGGTTTCAAATTTTCAATATTTTTTTAATCTATAATTATATTTAAATAGCGGGTGTTGATACATTTTGGTATACCTTGTGCGTTAATTTACGCGAATACTACACAAGGAAAAATTGAACAAAGCAAGATATTTGAAGAAATTGCTCTTGAGTTTATAAAAGTAATATTTGTTACACCTGAAAAGCTTTGTTTAAATAAGGAATTGCAATATTTCATTAACAATATGTATAACAAAAAAAAGTACGTTTTGTGATTGACAAGGCTCATTGTATTTTGGATTATAGTAATTTTAGGTAAATATTTGTTTTTTGTGTAAAAAATTTATTACAGTAACTTAACTATTATTTTTTTTTAAATAGAGAATCATGGAAGAATTTAGGATTATTAAAAAGAAATTGACCTATGGTCCTGATTATGCTCTTAACTGCTACAATTACATATAAAGATGTTCAAAACATCTGTGCGTCACTCATAATACCATTGGAAAGTCTTTCTGTAATCTGGAATTCTTCATTTGAACATAAAAAAATAGTTGTAGAGGCATATAGAAGAAAAGATAATTACAAAACCTTTTCAAATGACCTTTTGAATTTAATTAAAGAAGTTGAAAAAGGAAAATTTATTATTTACTATGCAATACAATTGGGATGTGATAACCTTTTTGTGATACTAGATCCACTTTTACCAGATGATGACCTGGGTATATATCATGGAGGTTTAGGCGATAAACAATATGAAAATATTATATCACGTTGAAAAGCTGGCAAAATTTGAATTATGATTAGAACAAATGCATTTGGTATGAGTATTAATTCTCCCGATATCTATCTAGTAATACATTGCGTATCTCCTTTAAGCATGAGTAATAAATATATTTTTAAAAAATTGTATTTATACATATATACAGTATATTCTTTTTAACAATTTTTTATATGTAGCAAATTTGGTACAGCATATCAGACGGGCAAGACGTGATAGTAACGAAGCAAAAAGTGTAATATTTTATTCAGTAAAGAAAGATTTAAAAACAAATTTTGCGATTTTGGCTGAAAATCGTGAAATGTAAGTATTTGACTAATTTAAAATTATTCTTTGATACTATTGACGCTAACCGTATTTAAATATTGTAGGTATTCTAATAATCAAAATATGGCTGATGATGAACGTGAACGAACATGCTATCTTGATACTGAAACATACAAAATTCGTGAAGTTCTTTTATTTTGTCAAAATCAATATGAATGTTGTGTTCAATTAATAAATCGTTATCATCTTTGGAATGGTGATAATATTCCTGCTTCTTGCTTAAAGTGTGATAATTGTAGAAATTGAATAAAAGAATGGCCTACTTATGGAAATTGCATTGATGATATTTTTCATTTATTAGAAATTATTGAAGAAATAAAAAATAATATTAATTGTGAAATTACTGAAGATGATATAGTAGAAGATTTTGTAAATCAAATACAAGAAAAATTCGAGAATCAGGGTTAACTGAATTGGAATCATATAAAAGTTGTCGAAAACCAAAATTTGGAAAACCAAAAGAAGTGGCTAGTTATATGCTTGCAGATTTGGTAGTATGTGGTTATGTAAAATAGAAAATTTCACTTTACCGTTCTTCACCAAGTGTACAAACTTTGTCAGCCAATATGTTTATAATAGGACTTGTAGCTGGAATAAAAGAAAAAGTTATTGCAGATTCGTGGTATTACTAGATAAATAAAAAGTAACAACGTCACGATGTCACGTATGTAAAACTTAATAAAAAATTTTTTATCTTTAAATTTATTATAAAGAATAAAATAAATACATGTTTTTCTATTTATTAAAATAAATTAAATGCTTTTAGTAAAAAAAAAAGACTTTTGATACCTTAGGAAGCGTAAAATAACTGTATATTACAAAAGCTTTGAATCATGTAATGAGTCAATACCAATAAATAGGAAACCAATAGAATACCAAATTGCCCATTCGCAAAAATAGTTTCCCATTCGCAACTTCATACTAAAGTTTTTCAAAAAGTTTTTTAAATAATAAAGTTTTTTAAGGTTGTAAAATGTTACTCGGGTTCGTGACTTTCTAAATATATAAATTTTATCCCTTTACGTTAAGTATTACAAAACTTTATGTTGTACAGAAAATTAGTATTACTATTTACCATATCGATAATATGAAATTACCATATGATTTCCTATACCTTTAATAATTATTTTATGTTTTTTTAGGCAATTTGGTGGGAACAGGTTGATTTTAATAATTATCTACATTTTTTGGGATGATTTTGGGTTGATTTTTCTATTTTTTACATTTTATATTTATTATTTTTATATTTTTTGGGCGATTTCAGAAGGAATGGATCATATTTTATCATATATTATTTATTTATCTATATTTAGGATGATTTAAAGGGATTTTGAGAGGAAATAGATCATATTTTATTATTTTATTATTTTATTTTTAATAGGAAATTAATCAGTAGATTTTAGTGATAATTTTTTTATTATATTTTATATTTTTGCAAATTTATATTAGGTTTTTATTATTAATAAAATTTTAATATTTAATAAATTTAATAAATAAAA